AACCTGCAATATATTTCATTAAGGGCAAAATATAAATTTTAAACCTATCTGGTGACTTTCTGACAAGGATCTTCTGTACATCTAGCACTACTCTCTTGCAATTGAACTCTTCATTCTTGCTTCTTTTTTTATTTTTATCTTATTATTTTTTCCATTAGTGTCTTTCTAATTATCATTTCCCTGTTTTTGTTCTCTTGTTTCTTTTTATGTGATGAAGAATAATAATTAGCTAAAAAGGCGCATTCCTTCTAGTTGAAAAGTCTCGCGAAAATAACTAATAAATAATGATCGTGATTGCCAAATATAGGATTTCGTGTTGACAATTAACTACAAGTCGAACATCCGTTGTTTGTTATTCTTTTGGCCAAGTGTTGGTCCCCAAATTCACCTCGCTAGCTATATATATACATTTTCATATATTTGTATAACAACACGAAAATCAATGCATGACCTAGATGTAAAGTAAACCTTTAAATAGACAGTGTACTAATTTAGCAATATTTTTGTGTAGTTAATAATATAATGTTTATTGTATTAGTATTAGAAGATTCAATAGTAAAATTTAGTAGCCAACAAAATGCTGTATCAAAACAATAAAAATACTCTTAAGTTAGGGCATCTCAATCACAGTAAAAAGGATTGAAAATTAAATAAGAAAACATAAAACAACACAGTAGTTATTTCTCGAGGCTCAGTTATAGCGACCTAAATCCTCATTGAGCTCTACACACAACATCTACACTAGATCTACTTTGATCAAATTTGGATTACAAAAGTACAACTGTTGACATACAAAAAGTGTAGTCCAAATCGAATAGTCCAAAGGATGAAACCCAGTTAAGAAGCTTAGGATGAAGGCCCAAATAGGACCATTAATGAATGCAGTAGAGGCCCACGAACAATGTACCATCATCGCCCAATCTTACAAGATGCCCAAGATCTGAGCAAATGAAGTGCCTTAAAATCGCCCAAAGCGAATAAGCCTATTCTCACCCAAACCTTCGAATCGCCCAGGATCTTAGCAAATATAAGGTATTATGGTTATCCAGAGCAGTAGTCATTGAGGCGGTTATTGAGCAATCTTATCACACCCCACGATCCAAGAATCACAATTGTAGGCGGTTGAACGACGAGAGTAATGGCAACAGTTAGAGACGATAGTTCCATGACAAGTCAGCCATCATGAAGAAAGTGAGTAGTTATAGAGCAATCAAGCAGTTTCCAAGCGGTTTGTCATGAATGAATTATTAAGGAAGTATAAAAAGGAAGAGAAGACATAGAGAAAAAGCTCCCGAATCAAACACTCTAAACAGAGAATATGTAATTTCAATTTCTTAGTTTAACTTTAAACACTTCTTTTAGTACTCGTGTGCTTGCGC